ATTGATGTATACAGTTCTTAAAAATCTTTTGTATGTTAAGTGTTTAATCCATCTCGACGACATCATTGTTTTTGGTCGCACACACGCAGAACATGCGGAAAATCTTTTAGCGGTTTTGAAGGCTCTCGAGAGCGCAGGTCTTAAGATTAAACCTAGGAAATGCAATTTGCTCCGCACAGACGTTTCATTTCTGGGACATTGCATTTCGCAAGAAGGGGTTACACCTTGAAGCGCAACGAAAGTAGAGCAAGTTTCTGATTGGCCGATCCCAAAGACAATCAAACACGTTCAGGGTTTTGTCGGGTTCGCGAATTATTATCACCGCTTCATCCGAAACTTCGCTCGCATTGCTGAACCTTTGACGAAATTGTCTAAGAAGGGTCAAATTTGTCAGTGGGGTAAAGAACAGTTAGACGCATTTACGAAACTGCGATCCGAACTTGCGACTGCGCCTGTTTTGCCGTATCCGAACTGGAGCCGCCCTTTTATTTTAGATACAGACGCATCGAATTCTGGACTTGGCGCAGTTCTTTCGCAGCTCGATGATGATGGTGTAGAGCGACCCATTGCTTTCGCTAGTCGTAGTTTATCGGATCCAGAACGAAATTACAGCACAACTCGACAAGAATTTCTCGCAGTAGTATGGGCGACGGAGCATTTTCGAGTCTATCTTTTGCATGTGCAGTTTCAAATTCGTTGTGATCACCAAGCGTTAAAATGGCTGCAAACTTTCAAAAACCCACGAGGACAAGTTGCACGCTGGATCGAACATTTGTCAGAATACGACTATATCTTGATACACCACCCGGGCGCACAACACGGAAACGCAGATGGTCTTTCAAGATATCCAGTCGATGACGCGTCGCCCGCGGTCAACTCGCTCCATTTTCTAGGCAGTGATGAGGCACGTAAGGAATGGCAAGAAGCTACTGATAATGATCTTGATCTCAGAGAAATCAAAAACCTGTTACAAAGCGACAATCGCAAGCAACCAACTCGTCCAGGCGCACGCGCTCTCTGGAACGAAAAAGGTAAACCTTTTGTCGACAATGGTTTGATTTATCGAAGAGTTCAGATTAACGCCAGTCAGTTGATTGTCCCTAAAGCATTTCGTACTCGCATTATTCGTGAAGCACATTCGACTGCGGTCACCGGCCACTTTGCTACAAGGTGCACAATAGCATTAGTCGCCAAAAAGTATTTTCGGATTAAGTTTCGCGCTGACATCGACGAATTTTGCCGCACGTGTACCGAATGTCAGCGTTCGAAAGCGAAGAATCCGGTCGATCGTGCACCCTTACAACATTTGTCATCTTCTAAACCACTCGAACTAGTTGCGATGGACCTAATGGGCCCACTGCCACTCTCGTCATCACAGAATGCATACATTCTCGTGGTGGTTGATCATTTTTCAAAATGGACTGAATGTTATCCCTTGCCAGATATTCGTGCATGTACGGTCACTCAGTGTTTTGTCAAAGAGTTTGTGTCTCGCCATGGTTTACCCGAGCGCATTCACACTGATCAGGGGAAGCAGTTCGAATATTTCCTGTTTCGCGAGCTATGCCTGCGCCTCGACATCGACAAATCACGAACGACTCCGTATCATCCGCAAGGCGATGGTGTTGTTGAGAGAGCAAATCGCACGATCCAGAATATTATGAAGATTTTCGTGAATGAAGAGAATTCGAATTGGGACGAGCTACTTCCGTCGACTATGTTAGCGTACAACACGAGTGTTCACGCATCTACGAATTTTACGCAGTATTCTTTAATGTTTGGTCGCGAAGCACACATGCCTCTTGATATTTTGTGTCCTCTGCCTGCCGACTCACTTCTGGAAACACACGAATCATTTGCAACAGAGCATGTTTCGAAGCTGCGCTCTTCCTACGATTTGGTTCGACAGCATCTCGATTCTGCTCAATGTTGCTCTAAAGCCCGTCACGATCGAAAATCTCGCGCTAGCCCATTGAATGTAGGTGACCAGGTGTGGTTACAGCGACATCCGCCACCTCAAGTTTCGCCTAAAAATTTTAAGTATTGGTCGGGACCAAGGGAGATTGTAAGGAAACCGACAGACGTTACGTATGCGATCGAACCTCGATTTGGGGGCCCTATCCGCCATCGACCTTGCGCAGTTCATCGAAATCGCCTTCGGAAATGTTTGGTCCAAGTGGGACCTGCAACGCGCACACCACTTGCTGCGCCCACACGCCCACCGTTTGCTGCGCCTACACACACGTACGATACTCGGTCTCGCGCTTTAGTTTAAGTTCATACTCTTCGAACATGCGTATCCTTGATTGGCCGTGTCTTTTGTTTTGTTTTTTGTTTCCTTTCTCTCTCTCTGTCTCTCGGTGTTCTCATGTCGTGGTTTTCGTGCGTGTGCTCTGTGTGTTGTTTCTCACGTTTCAGTACCATGGCCGAGGGTTCGCCGTTACACGTGGACCTGGTGGCGGCGTTGAGGTTTCCGTTTCAGAGGCTTTCATCACTCTTAAAGATCACAAAGACCGATTCAAGAACGACCTGCCCTGCCGACTCATCAACCCGGCAAAATCGGAACTGGGTATCATCAGCAAAGCAATCCTGGACCGCATGGTGAGCGCTGTACGTGTGGCAACTGAAATCAACCTCTGGAGAAGCACCGGATCTGTCATCGACTGGTTCAAAGGAATAAACGACAAGAGCAGACACACATTTGTTTGTTTCGATGTTGTCCAGTATTATCCGTCGATCGGCGAAATGCTCCTCATAAAAGCCCTCGACTTTGCAGCAACGTACACTGTCATCGCAGATGAAGAAAGAAACATTGTCATGCATGCAAGAAAGTCCGTGATATTCAAGGACGGCCAAGCATGGATCAAGAAGGGCAACGGATCCATGTTTGATGTCACGATGGGATCGTTTGATGGTGCGGAGGTATGCGAACTGGTCGGAGCCTACCTGCTGAACCAGCTCGCAGAGCACATCCCCAAAGAACAAATCAGCCTCTATTGTGATGACGGCTTAGCCATCATAAAAAACGCATCCGGTGGTACTGCAGAGCGACTTCGGAAGAAACTGACGGCAGTCTTCACGGCAAACGGACTCCGTGTCACCATCGACCCTAACCTTAAGGTGGTGGATTTCCTTATATGGTTCTGTGGAAAATAACAGGGGAATAGTTTGTAGAGGGCGTTGCACTGTAGCAGCAAAAGTTCAACGGGGTCAACGCACCGCCCGACCTAGCTACGACCGTCACTGATTGTAGTGGACTGGACATGTTATCAAGGGAGTCGTAAACCTACGACTTCCTGGTGCATATACTTGTACTTGAACTAATTAGTAATTACTTGTAGGACATGTACAACTGTATGGAACTCCCCTCCAGCCAACCATGTAGAAGCTCGGCGCACCCGGAGTCAACCCCCTCCTGGCCAGCAGCACCATGTGCAGCTGCAGCACGTCCTGGACAGGAGAGCACCTGCCTATGCTTCTCGCTCCTTCCCGTTTTCTGTAGTCTCAGTATGGAACAGCTTGCCAAGCGAAATTGTAAGGGCTCCACTCAGCTTGAAGCGGCTCCACACGTTCAAAGAAGATGTCCATAAGTACCTCACGCACCAACACTGGCTGATGGCTACCGACTTCTACGGATGAACTTCTGACTGGGGCACGGGTCATGTTCCTTGGTTCGGCTCTGCTGATGATATTGGGCTTCATTTACCTTTTATTATTTAATTTTTTATTATTAATTTTTTATTTAGTTTGTTTTGTTTGTTATGATTTCTTGGTTTTCCACCCGGTTTAGTTATAATTTAAATTATTATTTGGTGCAGCTTTAGCGCTATGTGGTTTATTATTTCCTTTTTCTTAATTTCGTATTTAGCGCTTTTGGGCGTCATTATTTTCTTCTCATTATTTCGCACCAAGTTATTATTTGTGGTATTCTCTAGCTTCTGTTTGTTTTGCAGTTGTTCTTGTGCACCCCCCCCCCCCCCCACACACACACACTTTTTTCGATGCCTAGTTGCAACGCTGACGCCGAGACCTCTGGTCGGTTGAGTTGCTCCCAGCACATCAGCACGTCGTCCCTACATCCCCTATGTCTTGTCCTTTTCCTCGTTTCTTTTGTTCTCCACCTGTTTTCCAGTAGGGCTGTGTCAATAGTAAAAAAAAAAAAAAAACTTGATGCGAACAGGCGGATTATTCCAATTTATGCGATTCGTATGCAATTTGCCTCGAATTATGCGATTCGTATGCAATTTGCCTCGAATTATGCGATTATTCGATTTTGGTAGGAATTGTGCGAAAAATTATGCTAGGCCTACATCCCACTGTAGCACTGAACTCATCGTATGCTTACGGTTGTACTTCAAGTTTTTTTTATGGCGGGAACATCTCTTACGGCATAATGCCTCTGCTGCGGCGTGCGGCACTGCGGGTCCAGTCTACAGTCCATTCATAAAAAGATGGGCTCTGGCTCTGGCGAGCTCCCGTATTTGGCGATTTTTCGTGATTTCATCGTACACAGTGCAGTGCTGCGAAATTTGAAATTTGAAAAAGGGTCCAAAAAGGGTACCTGAACTGGGGTTCGAACCGCACAATGCACTGTTGCAGACGGGGTCAAACGGCCTGGATTTTTATTGTTTTTCCCAATTCAATGCTTTGGGGGCAAAATCTGGCCGAAATCCTATTCTTGTTATGGCTTGCTTTTTGGAGAAAAAAACTTCAGAAACATAATTGGAAGAGGATTCCATAGAGGATTGCAGAAAAAAATTCTAAAAAAACTCAACGTTTGACCCATTTATGGCCAAAAGCTAGAAGTTCATTTTTTTCTGAATGGACTGTAGTCAGTGTCAGGTGTGATTGCGGGAGTACTGTAGTGACCGGCAATGTCTATGACGTCACTGCCCTTTTGACTTGTGACATGCATGCACAGATGCAGAGATCGTGACGTCATGACGTGAGTGCACGTCACGTCATGCTGATACAAAAAAATGAAAAGTTCAAACAATCAAGAGGAAGAAAGGAAAATCAAAGAGTTGATGAAGAGCTGAAGACGAATAGAGAACTTCATCCTGAGGGCAGGTGTCTTTCCCTGGCTTATGCTTGGTTGTTGGATTCCCCAACTAGCCTTTGTTTTCTTATTACTGCAATTCGTACACCCTGGAGAAGATAGTTGTTCTTGTCAGCCATGGACGAGGCAAGCATTGCGCCACGACAGCAAACGTATGGCGATCGCCTGACCGATCAATCGCTGGAATCAACACGGCGAATGCTTCGGCTGACGAACGAGTCTGCGCAAGTAGGAATTGACACCATGGTGGAGTTAGATGCTCAGGGAGAGCAACTCGATCGTATTGAAGAGGGCCTGGACGATATCCACGATGGCCTGAAACGCTCGGAGAAAACGTTGAATCAGATGGAGAAATGCTGCGGCATGTGCTTGTGCCCATGTAGTGGCAGTGACTTCGCCCAGCGTAACAGAGGTGCTTATAGACGTTTGGACGCAGGGCGAGACGATGACGACGATGATGACAGAATAATCACAGAAGAGCCCAGACCGTCTTCATCATCCAGACAACGACAGCGAGCACAACCAGGTGACCGTTTCGTTCAGCGAATTACTGACGACGCGCGCGAGGATGAAATGGACGAGAACTTAGGACAGGTGTCGAACATGCTAGATGGTCTGAAAGGCATGGCCCTAGACATTGGTGATACGCTGGAGCAACAGAATGCTACCTTGGACCGCGTGAATCGCAAAGCAGACCAGAACGATCTCCACCTGGATTCGGTCAATAAGCAATCCAGGCGTGTTTTACGTAATGCGTAAACACTCGTGTCTAGAAAATACAAATGCACGGTATAGAAGCGTACACGAAATACTGTACATACTTTCCTACGCTCTTACCGCGAAAACATTGTGCAAGTCATATAGATCAGCCACTGACACACTGCGTCTTCAGGAAATGGAGCCACACAATCAGTTCGTCTGATTCATTCAGTCACATATTTATTTCAATTTGGCACACTTCTTAGGACGGCATGGTGCTATTTGCTGTACATATAACTTTAGGAACACGTATGATGCTCTCGTTTTGTAGATTTGTTCCTAGATCCTTCTCTCATTTTTTTGGTATCTTTACTTTCAATTTCATCTCAATCCTCTAAACCTTTTTTTTCTCTTTTTTCCAATTTTGCTGTTGTGGGCTGGTTCCATGAATTTGGATTATTTGTTTTCTCAATTGTTGATAGTGACATGCTGTTGACAATGCTGTGCCTCCCTGGAATGCTAGCCGCTCGCTTTCCTCTGATATAATTCTCTAGGCATGGTAGTCGTACCTGCCCGAGTCGTCCTCATTCGTCTCATTCTGTTAGTGCACTGTCAAGGTGCGATCTGTCGTGTTTATGTGTGTGTGGGGGGGGGGGGGGGTAGGAGCGAGAAGTTCGCATCATGAGCATATGTTTTCGTGCACACCATGACCCGCAGCATGTAAGACAAGTATATGGATGGACACGAGGGTGTCTTGTCACTCGCGTGCTCTTGGAGTTACTTGAACACTTCTGTTAACGAACAATCCCAAACACTGAAACAGGAAATAATATCCATGAGGTCGAGGGAATGAAAGGGAAAAAGTCTGAAGAAAAACTGGCTGTCACCACCAGGGCCGGCCCGAGAGTTAATCAGCTGCAAGAATCCTGCAACTAGCTGTATAAAAAAACATTGAAAACTGAATAGCTTTAATTTTGTCATAAAATAAAGGCTTCAAGGTAAATATTGCTCAAGGATGGTACAAACCAGTCAGCAGCCACCAAACATAAACGTCTCAAGATACGTCACAATTTAGAATTGGAAATAAATATGAGCCAAACTACAACGTACAAGGACCACAAACCAGTGCTGGCCTGGCTCCAGTATAGCTCAACCTACAGAATATTGCAGCAACGAAACAGGGGTTTAGCAGTATCATCTTGATTGATTGTGCGAGAGCGGAACGAGGCTGTTTTGGCCATCGAACTGAAGTGAGCCGAGATCTGAGTGAGTAAACAATCTACACCCTGACCGTTGAGTGCAGAGGTTTCCTCGGCTAAGGCCAGACCCATGACGGTGGCAAACTCACTTGCACTGCCGGCGGCCACACACTGGCTCTTGTTCTGTTGAGTGCGTAGATCCACCTTGTTGCCCACCAGGAAACCTTCTCGTTCTACCGCGCCCGCCCTTGCCTGTTGCACCCAGTGCTTGAGGGCAAACAACGAGAGGTCGTTTGTTACATCAAATACGAACAGCACCTGCGGCATGGGAGAATAACAACACAGCAGTTACACCGGGGTTGTGAACTAGGTACAAGTACACTACCACAGGCGTGTAGCACCGCCGTTGGTGGTGGTCCGGCCGGGGGGGGGGGGATGTCCCCCCGTAATTTTTTTTTGAAATTAGGGTGCAAAATCCTGCATTCTGGGCACTTTTGGCATTGTTTTACTATGGTGGTCGTGGTCGGGCAAAAAAGTGGTCCGGCCAAAGCCGGAGCGGCTGCTACGCCCCTGCACCATGCAAGTAGTTCCAGCCAGTTTCAGGATATGGCTATCACACAAGAGCAAGAGCAGAACTGATTGCCCGGGCGATGTCAAATGGTAGGAAACAACACTGCCACCTTCCCATGTGCTGTACACTGATGTACTAAGTAAGTTGAACTGGTCCAGCAACATTGTACTCGCATCATGCAACACAGGGAAAACCCCGACGTCAATAGCAAAAGCGTTGCACATCAACCTGTCTGAACCAATGGGATTTCGATATTCCTGGTTCAAGTACCATTGCCCCCCCCCCCCCCCCCCATTCAGTGGCTTCACCATCAGTCAAGCTTACCAGGTCTGCATTGCGATAGTGGCTACCCGTCAGGGTTTGGTTGAACCGCTCCTCTCCAGCAGTATCCACCAGGGTAATCTGCAGTGTACGCATGACACATGCATGCAGATCAGGACGCATACACTCATATCTCTTCGCTTATCCGGGCAGTCCGAGACCGGCCACAGCACAAACTTGGAGATGTCCGTAACTCTGAATCACCGGACGTACGTTACGAAGCCAAGTTGAAGGGGAAAGGCCTGAGATCTTCCGTATGACATCACAATCTCCACAAAACTTGGCAAAGGAGTAGTAATATTTCCACTAAAACTGAACGATATGGTGCCCGTGAGTTGCAATCTACTCGAGACAGTGGTGAAACTAGGTTTGCCGTTATCTTCACCGGTTCTTTCTGCTCGGCCATGCATTCTCCATCTGACTAGCTCCTAACGCTAGCTCGATTTCATCAAACAGAGCATTTCTAGACCGGAAACGCTCCTCGGCAAGGAGCACAAGACAAAGCCCACTCGCCGACCGGGAAAGCCTACAAAAATGTAATGAAGATGCCCGCACCCACTAATATAGACGAGGCTTTCTACACAGCCCTTACGTATAATTATGTAATACTGGTGTTATTATTCGTAATGTGTTTAAGTCGTGGGGCACTGCTATTGTTATGTGTGCCTAGCGCCTACCTCCGCTAAATTCCCGTCAGCCAGTTGTAAGGACAGTCGAGATTCGGTAAGGGGAAATTGTGCAGCACGTGGCTTGCTGTTTACACCCTGACGTCCCGTTCTCAGAAGGTGGCCAGACGATCGAGTGGCAGCAGCCGATGCGGTGCTTGTAGAAAACCCGCCACCCGTACTAGCACTGCCAGGCTGTTCTGCTTCGGCTTTCAAACGAGTGAACAGCGTTGTTTTACCAACATCCACCTCACCAGCAAGCACGACTTTGAATGAGAGGTGACACGCGTGATAGCTGCGAGAACCCGTTCGGGAAATGTTTCTCCTGGAGAAGGCGGCGGTTGAATTTACGACTGGCTGGCGAGTGGTGACTGTTGTTTTGGGATTGCGTTCGTCAACGAGCTGCTCGTACTCAGCCATGACGTGAAGTCCAACAGGATTTCACCTCGCTAAATAGCCTGTATAAACATTACAACCCTGCGCTGTCTGAAATATTTTATTGTGAATAGAAAGGGAAATGGAAACTGCAGTGCATGCATGGAGTGTGCAAAATGTACTCGTTCAGGAGTCGTTGATCAGGAAATCTACCACAGACAGTCCACAGATACTAATACAGTAGATCTACTACTACTAGTACAATAGTAGAATAAAAACTGCGGACCACCGCGCGCTGTGCATGCGGCATGCATGTCTCCCGCAAAAAGCAAACGGAACGAGTGATGATCATGACGTGCCCATACGGCCATAGCCAGTGCACCAGAGCGTCTACTTCGTCCTTTGAAGGCTTTGTTGACGGCCATAGTCGGTGCAGTGGATGTTTGCTTGACAGCCCTTCGACATGACCAGATGACAGGCAGCAGAACTACAGCGTATTCATTAGTCCGAGGGGGTGAACAGGGAAAAGTCGGAAGAGGTACTTCAACTTTTGTGTCAAAAGTAAGTGATAGTTCAAAGGTCGCCTACAATAAAACATAGAAGCTTTTAACTTCAAGTTCAAGGATACACTAGCAACACAATGCAAGTCTTTATGACAGCCATGCATAAGCAAGAGTCCATAATTATGAACTCCTGATTCTCGTGCAGAGACATCGACGTCTTTATTCCAATACTGTACAACCATTTTTTTACAGCTACAGTAGCAGCTATTCGAAACTTAGTATCATGCGCTACGATATAACATGTGGCAGAGGGGGCTCCCCAGTAGGCAGTAGTACATTGGGTACTGCACTTGCCTGCGACCCGAGAGCTCGCGGGTTCGAGCCCCGCAGTCGCACATCTGACTGCAAAATCCCCACGACGCAGCTCACCAGATCAAGGTGTGGGTCCTCTGCACTCAGTAGAGTCAAGTCGAGCGAGCTGCAACTCCCGGTGCCGAAAGGCGGGCTAACGCCCCTACATGGCTACTTCCCCTTGTCTAACCCCCAAGACGAAATGATAGTAGCCGACTGGCCGAAATTAAAAAAATGTGGCAGACACACGGCGCCGACCCCCCCCCCCCCCCCCCCCCTAAATCTGGCCTCCATCCAGGATAACCATGATAACGCCGGGCCCTTTCAGTGTTACCGGTTTACCACTGAGCACTTTCGGCTCCTTGTGTACTGAGCAGTGCCATTCTTGCGGAATTTCTAAAACTTATTTGGTTGCCAGTCTAAAATAGGAATAAAAATACCCTGGCATATATACATGCAGGCACAGTGGCAGGCAGGCAGGCAGGCAGGCAGGCAGGCACAGTGGGTTGGTCTAAGACCATGATTAATGAACGAGAGGTACCAGGTTCAAGTCCTGCTTGGAAGCGGAAGGATTTTTCCAACCGTGCTGCGACCCACAGTTAATTGGGAACTCGTGGCCTGGCATGAGTAAATCATGGATGTGGCAAATGGGATTTAGGCCTTTGGCCTATGGTTGGTGGATCTGATCTATCCTCCCCCACCGTTTAGGAGCCGCATCTGACGCCTGATCATGGGGTGGTGGCGTCCCACGGAAGCGGAAAGGTGGTTCTTGACCAGGGAGTTGTACGACTCCTTGTTCTTGACCTGCCCGGTACGCGAACCCGTCGAATTTATTTATTTTTATTTATACCCAATGCTGTAGACAGCAAGCTGTTTCGGCCATAAAGGCCTCATCAGTACAGCTACGAGCTAAATAGGCCGAGCTACCAGCCATGGTGCAAAGGAGGCACCACAGACATTAAGGTAGCTCGTCGCTCTAGCGCCAGAGTGCTCAAACTACAAAATGTAGTGGGCATTGCGCGATGCAGCAGCACTAGAGCAGCCTACTGAGAGTGCTCAACAAGGCGAAAGCCGAGGAGCGTGATACCCAATGCTGTAGACAGCAAGCTGTTTCGGCCATAAAGGCCTCATCAGTACAGCTACGAGCTAAATAGGCCGAGCTACCAGCCATGGTGCAAAGGAGGCACCACAGACATTAAGGTAGCTCGTCGCTCTAGCGCCAGAGTGCTCAAACTACAAAATGTAGTGGGCATTGCGCGATGCAGCAGCACTAGAGCAGCCTACTGAGAGTGCTCAACAAGGCGAAAGCCGAGGAGCGTGATACCCAATGCTGTAGACAGCAAGCTGTTTCGGCCATAAAGGCCTCATCAGTACAGCTACGAGCTAAATAGGTATTTTTATTTATATATACATGCAGCTGCAATGAAATGACATGTCCAAGACAACTCCACTAACGGTACTCGTATACAGAATACTAGTATGTATCAATTTTTGCTGGAAATCTCATGCCAAACCTGTACTGAGGACAATGCTTCAAATTTCCGTAAAAAAGATTACACTAAAACCTGCCCTTACCGGACACGTTTGGTGCGGCAGAAACGGTCCGGATATGACAGGATTCTGCTGGATCCAGGAATGCACGTTCGATTCACAGGACTTTGATGTATGAAAATATGTCCAGTCAATACAGAATTCCGCTTGGTACAGGGTCCGGCAAACACAGGACTTACTGTACAGACAAATGCTGGTGATTGGCAATACTGCAATCTGGTCCTGAATTCTACAGTCGTCTAGGACAGATGGTCGCCTTGACAGGTTTTACTACAGTAAAGTACTGCGAAAGCTCCCCACCACTGCCACACCCACTTGTGGTCGTGTTTTTGAGATACTGTCCTGTCTCTACAAGTACTTGAAGTAGGTCATACAAACGTACCATGGACACACATTCCACACTTTGCAGTCAATCTGTGTACAGTGGGTATCGGTTATTATAGCATGGGTGTTTGAAAAATGACTTAAATATTCTTATTGCCGATATTTCTTGCACACAATAAATCAAGCGTGACATATCATGTGCATGTGCGCAGAAGCAGGAAAATCATCGTAGATGCAATGTAGTGCTACTGTGTATGCGGCTGGTCATACTTTGTGTAGTCACATAGGCTTACCATGTGCATGTGGCTATCCAACATGAGTTACCATGGTTACATGACCACAACAGTTGAACCTGCAGCACTACAACGCAACGCGAGTCACATCCGAACTGCATTGGACAGATGTTATTACTACAGGCGATACACTTTGTACTAATCTGGCATGTTTTGCTACACAAAGTCCATTCTTAGGACCGATATATTCTACTGTACGATAAAATTGCTTGTGAGAATAAATGTGCACTTCAAACCCATGTTATGATTATGAAAACATGAGAGTTCATTCTTGTAGGCAGTATTTAGAAAAGCGATCCTGTCAGCTTTTCTATTATTGTGTTCACATGGCAAGAAAAACGACACCGCTATGCTACGTAAGTTTCTACGTAAGGTGCTCGGTATTTCACTTAGGCTACGTAAGTCTCTACGTAAGGTGCTCGGTATTAGATCTACCAACGGGTGGTAGCCGCGTGCTGTGCACTTGCCCGGCAGACATTGTGTTGCAGTGCATGCAGTCCGTGTTTGGATGTGCATGCGCGAGGAACTAATAATGAATTTATATTACTTTCTCCTTTGGAAATGCTTCTTGTATGAGCTGTTTCGGATATTTCGTCTCCGGGCCTGGCTTATTTCGTTTCGGCGCTGCTGAGACCTCCTTTCGCGGAATATTACTCAATGACAGGTGAGTTGACCAGTTCCCTTTGATTCATTTGCTTGTGCTGACTCTTTCATTTACGAAAAGTGTGCTGATTTTGGGCGGAATGCAATAAATAATGGAAAAGCTGACAGGATCTCTTTTCTAAATTTAGCTTTTCCGCTGCCGAGGCCTCCTTTTACGGAATACTCGATGACAGGTGATCTCTGAGTTGACCGGTTTCCTTCGATTCATTTGCTTATGCTCACCCTTTCATTTACGGAAACGTGTGCTGATTTTATTCGGATTTAGATCCATTTTTATCTCTTTGCCCTTGTCTACAGTGTGCGAAGAACGCGAGTTCACCTTCTTGACGATAAGGCTTATGTTAAATGTGTTGTCGAAATACTCATATTCATTGTACATTGGTACATTACAAGTAAGGCACTGGTCAGTGGCATACTATCGTTGGCAGTTCCCAATCTGGAGGGAAAGGTTCAAGGACCCATTGACCGAGTTTGCAAAATAAATTCGCATATCATGGAAAATCTCCATTGTGGAGAGGTTCAGTAAACTTGTTTGCTTCATACGAAACAAGCCAATGGGTGCAGTCTCGTCTCGTGAAAATCTCGTACTTGTATGATTGGATTTGTTTCCTCGAGTCTGGGCTGTTTGATTTATTATTTGTGAGTACCACCGAGATTGCACTGCCCCAAATAAAGTTTCGTGCCGCCAAAGCAAGAATTACGATCTGCAATCTGTTTGTAGTACCTGCAAGAATGTGCTGTACATGTATCGTACTTTCTCTGTTGCTGTTTCAGTTGCCGTCATGTTGCTAAAGAAGCGTTCAGTAGAGAGGTTCTGCAAAACGAAAATTCGAACGAAGTTTCGCGACAGTCTTTGCGAAAGTGTGTACGAATTTTTGCACGAACGTTGCGTTCTGCACATTTTCGTAGTTTGCGCGGGCCAAGTGCACGTACGCCATGACCCGATCTCACGAAAGTGTGTACGACTGTTCATTTCGCGTTCCCTGCAAGTTTCGCGTCCAGAGTTGCGAAAGTTCGTGCGAAGTTTCGCACTTCATGACGTGGAACGAAAGTTTGTACGCATTTTCGTTTTGCAGAACCTCTCTAGTGACTCTTTATTTTGTTTCATACGAGACGAGTCAATGAGTTGGTGTGGCTTAGAATCTTTCGCTGTAGAAGAAATCTATTCATATGTCTATTGGAGAAATAATTGTATTCACTGGTTATAAAATAGGTTAAGACAAACTCACAGAAGAAATACCATCGGTCCCTTGGTGTTCGTCCTAAAGAGGTTCGACTGGATATCATTCACACTCACCAGAAGATGTGTAAGATTTTATTATTATGGAGTGCCTTGTTTATCTCTCAGTACCTCCAACCATAGCCTTGCCCCTTTTATCCTCAGGATCAGTGTAGTTGTTGGAATGAGGTGTTGGACTCAACAATGTATTTGTTTACATTTTAATACATGTTTATTGTTCCTCCTCTGCTGTGTTGTTTTAGAAAATCGTGGACTAACAGTTTGAAGTCATTGAACTACTTCCAAAAGTTGTATCGACATCAACAGGATTACGATT